TCAACAAAGTTATCAGCAACTTATAAACAAATGATATTCACCGTTTTCACCCGTGTATCCCCAGTCTTGGTCTGCCATCGTATCACTTAACTTTATATACGAGTTCGTAACGATTATTATCGTTACGTGGTTAAGCCGTTACTGCGTCCGAGTACGAGCGGAGTCTCGGCTTTATAGAACACGAATGTTTGAGAGGACGGAGGCGCGAGGGCACAGGCGCGGGAGGAGAGCGGCGCGCGCGGCGTGCTACTGCCGAGTGCCGAGTGTTGAGTGCCATCGGAGCTCGACCCGCGTCCTCCATACGCTAGGCCTTCGCCTCAGGCCGTTACGCGCCACTGAGAAGGAAACATACGCCTCTCGATCGCCTTTTAGCTTTCTAATCTATTCTCGGTATTATCACTTGGTATGTAAATAATCTTACGTAAAAAAAAAATTTTTGTCAATTCTATAGTCGTACCTTCATATATTGTTATAATTTCTTTTTATGAAAATTGCGTATGAAGATTTCTAAAAAAGTCTGGCTACTGAAATTATGTTGTTACTTACTTTACTTTTTTATTTTATTATATTTTTAGTAAAATATTATGAATTTATAATTAGACCGTTCGCATTACGTAATGCATTTCTTGAAATTGTTACCGATTCTTAAAGAATGTGAAATATTTTCTGTCGTATTTATTTACTTGCCTTATGACAAATTTTCTCCTACCGCGCCCGCCTAGACTTACACTAATTATTTCTAGATTAAAAAACTGTTTTACTAGTACATTGTTTAAAATATCAAGCATCACTTAAAGAATTTGGATATTCTCCAAGAGATTGAGGTCGTCAATGTTTCCAGAGTGTAAAATAGGAGAGTAATCGAAATAAACCATTCAGTTATCCAAAATATTACACACCATATAATGTACTTTGTACCGTCAGCTTAATACACACAATTTGATTAGATTATTATTCTTGTGTTTAGAGTTTCAAACCGCTTAAATGATTTTTATCTTGGTGTTGACACAGATGGGTCCTATAATTCTATTATATTATGATCGCTAATAACACGAAGCAAGCAAGCTTTTATTATCTTGTAAAGTTGATCTGTACCAAGAAAATAAATAAAAAATGGTAAAAAAATAAAATGTATAAATTGACCGCGCTTGCGGTTTTAATACTACACATCCTTTCGTATTGCAGGAAAAGACCATCCCTTGCCCTTCAACAAACATTAAAATCGGTTCAGTAGTTCTGCCATAAAGCTGAAATTATCATGCGGACAAGCCATTTTCGATTAATTATATTGAACAATGTATTGTTGTAATTTTTGTATTTCGTTACGAAGGCTAGAATCGTGTGGATGGCGTGAGAAATAGAAATTTAGGTGAACTACTTGAGAACTAATAGTTCTTTGGTAATAGGTTGTTACTTGTTAGCTTGATAGTTGACATGAGGGTGTACTTGTGCTATAACAGACTTATCTAATCACGTAGGTAAGGCTATTTTCCTTATTGGATTATTTACATATATTAATTCCCTTTCGTTTTAAATGCCACCATTTTTTTAGTCTACGAAGAGAAATGCTAGCTGTTTCATAATAAAGAAAATGGTTAAAAATGTTCTGATATACATTTCTTATTCTAAGCAAACTATATTGTAATTCTGATTAAAATTCTAAATGTACTATAAAAACAAAACTATATCAAACAGATTTATAAACAGAGTTATTAAACTTGTTGAAATTCATTGTTTACAATATCGGGATGTTAAAATATTTGTGTTACCATGCCGGTCAATAATTTCCTCAACTCTTCATCGAAAAGCAAATTATTTGAGTATACTCGTACACTGTGAATTATGTGATTTTCAATCTGTTTTGAGCGTTTGCTGTAAATAAAAATGATTTATTCAAACAGACTACTTATAATTCTCAACATAAAGTTGGATTACCATTACGAAGCAACAACTTGTTATTTATAAAGTTTATAGCTCAACGAGAACAGAATTACAATCGAATGTTGTATTGTTTCTTTTTAATGGATTGACTAAAATTTAGCGCCTCTCGATACAGAATTTAAAGTACGTATTCAATCACTTGTAACTTATGTAATATTCTTTGATATTTGTTCTAAAAATTGGCCAATATACCTAGTTCAATAGTATATACATACTTAATGACTGTAGTCAATCAATTTGGTGGGCCTTAGCCTCTTCTCGTATTTTTGCCTTCTTTCCATTTTCCATACCTTCGGTCGAATTTTCTTCTGCAACAAAGTTGATAGTCCAACAACTACTGTAAGATTCTTTTATTTGCCGTTCCAGGCTCATGTCTGTCACTTAAGTATAAAGCGCTTTATACGGTAGATATTAAGAACCTTATAAAGAACCACTTTATCGTACAGTAGCCATATCGATATTATCAATTTAAGTGAAACAAAGTCAGAAAAAAGTTTGCCAGCATTGGCAGATTTGGGGGCTCACTTTGATAGATAGATAGGTATTTGTAGATTATAAAATGTAAATAAAACTGTAAACAATAGTAAATACAAACGACAGATTGATTGGTGAACGCAGACATGTGACGTGAAAATGATGAGGGGCACGGTCATTCACTGGGTACATCCAACTATGTAACTGCTATCAATCGTGCTAAAAATGGTCTCCCGTCAGCTGAAGGCCGATGAATTAGTGCAAGGATCGAATAAAGACTTTTGTTTGTACCAACTTCTACATAAACAATATTTACTTGGTTATTATGGCCGACTCCTTGGGAGTAGTTGCATTCTGTGCTAATTAATTGTACATTAATTGACTAAATGTTTTTTGACAAATAATACTTATTTGAAAATTATTATATTCAACACCAGTAAGATGTTTACTTTTTATTATTCGTTTAAAATTAAAAGCAGTGGGCACAACTGAAAGAGACTTTTAAATACTTGCTCAAAAGTAATGGCGGTAAATTGTCTATACCTGTACAAAATGATTGTCTCCTAGCGGATGTGAGTGATTTATTCCTTTTGAAAATGAAAATGGCTAACATTAAACAGACGAGTGCTGTTGAAAAGTAATTTTGACGTTACTACGACGTTTTAAACATAATTAATACAATATTCGCACACACAATATCTATTGTGTGTAAATTTAACTTAATATGCGCAGTTGAGTCCATTTTTTTAAACTTCGAGCTTTAGTTCTTTACTGCTGTTACCATGGGAAATGAACAAGAAAAACTTTTAAGATACAAATTACAATTATTTAAAAATACTTAGTGATAATAAAAAAAGTTATTATATAAAAATATGATCATAAATATAAATATAAGCATAATGTAAAAAAATCGCAGGTATCGAAATGTTTATTAAAATTAGTTTAATTACTAAAACGATGCCTCTTAATTATTGTGTTTTTTATTATTCTGAAGGCAATGTACGAGGACACAGTGGTGACTGATGGCTACTTTGTTACGGTTTAGGAACAATAGTGTGACTAAGTTTATAATAAAATTCGAACACTGTAAATTAAAATACAATGTTAGTGTACGTTCTTTTATTTAATTAAAAACTGTAGGTAAATTTCATAATTATATAAATTTAATAAAAGCTTTAAATTCCAGCAAGGCAATAATTTTTATCTGTAAAAAAAAACTCAGTGAAAGTAATACAGAAATATTGAGTCTATATGTAACTTTGTGTCAATATAGAGACTATAAAAACATTAATATAAAGGTGTCAAATATACGATTAAGAGAATTTTTATATTTCTTGGAACAAACAGAAAGTCTCTTTGAGACGAAATCGTGTCTGCAATAATGTAGAGTAGGTTTCTAAAATTGAATGGATTATATCTGTTTAAACAAAAATAAATATTTAGAACCATCTTAGAATACATAATGTATTACATATTCAAATAAATTGTCGAAAAATTCAAAGATGGACAGTCTTTAAGAGCTATTGCATAAATTTGCAAGCCTTATGACTTGAATTGTAATACTTATTTGAGTAGCGAGAATAATCGCAGTTAGTGACACATAAATTTTAGTGTTTAACATGTTAAAGTTAAACTGATCGTCACGTATCTTTTGATAGCCATCATCTGTCAATCACTGTTCGCGTGATCTACGGACGGATGTTAAGAATAAATATACATATTACCAAAAATCGTGTACAAATGATTTTCTTTAATTACCAAAAATCTATAAAAAATGTGTTCATATGATGCAGGCCCAGTTATAGGCATAGAGCAGACAAATTGCTTCATTTGTTTCAGTGATTTCATTTTTACAGACTGGCAATTTTGTGTCTCAGGGCCTACTATTATAGAGGGAATTAAGGTTTAGTCGCCCCGGATCAAACCTTCTGAGTTAGACGCATTCCAAAATCCGATAACTGACCATCTAAACGCGGAAAAATACCACTGCCGAAAATTAATGTTCAATTGTTTAATTATAGGTTCAAAGGTGGCAGTAAAACAACACAATCTATTCATTATATTTATTTGTAGACATTAAATTTTTAATTAGTGTATTTAGAAAGGCGATAAACGCACAAATTATCTTCAAACTTAAACTTAATTATTTCATTTAATTATAGTTTGACTAGCATCCATTGTAATAAAATAATAAATACATCTATAATAACCTAGATGTAAAAAATACATTAAATTTTTCAAATATTATGCAAAATTAAGTTATACAGAATTTGTGCAATATAAACTAAAAATTATAAAACTGTACCGATGTACGTCGTAAATTACTTGTCTACGAACTAAATCCTAATAAATGCTCACGTTTTGTAGATTGTTTTAGATAGCTCCGTTAGGTAAATCTCTATATTTTATGTAACATATAAATATCGAAATTATATTAATACTGTAATGCCTTCAAGTCGTATTAGCTAATTTAAAAACAAACTTCAAGGACGCATTCTTGAAGTTACGCTATGTATTTTTTCCCTACTTTAAAGAGAAGACAAAATGCATTACGTGTGTATTCTAGACTTTGCAAAGATGCCGTTTTAAGGTAACTTTGTATCATTTTTCGGTATATCTACGTAATCTATTACTTCCCAGTTATCTTCTGGGTCTTCAGGCATTTGCGGCGGTATTGCTGCGCGAGCGTACGGCGTGCCCTTATCATCCACCGACAGGTAAGACCGTAATGCTGCGAGGTAGTCTTCATCGTCAGAAACAGCCCTGGCTCTAGCGTTAAATGGACCACCAACATCTTCGCTTGGTAGCTCCCAAATGTGATACTGTGCTGTCATTTTAAAGTTCTGAAAAAGATTAATACATTAATATATACTTACGTACGGTGTAAGTTAAAGTAAGTCTTAGTACTAAGGTACCTGAAAGTTTTATTTTCATAAATTGCAATATAGAATAATTCGAGAAAACGGAGCTAAAAAGTGATCACTGATATGGCTATTCATTTTAGTTTACTTAAGCGACCCCCTATAAATTGAGGGTAATATCCAAGAAAAGCTAAAGACCGATAGTAATTGAAAAATACCATGATTGTAATCTGCAAAGTACTTAATAGCGCTTCCGTAAAACACTTCCGACATGACCCATGCAGGTAATTATTTCCACATCCTTGTAGTAGGCATGTAGCCTTGATATATGTTTTATTCAGTTGCAAAATGCAATCGATCCACTAAATCGTTTAATCTAAACATTTTATTACCCATCTCAGAATGCTTTGGACTGCGCGTAATTATGGTCCTCGAAAGCACATTATTGCTTATTTTAATAATAATAGTTGACTGATTAGAATTTAGTAGGAGATACAATTATGGAGTAATTGTAATTTCTAAGAAAGACAAAAAAAATAACACGTTAATGATAACAAGTATAAACGTGGGTTTATAATTAATGTTTTTTGAAGGAGGTTAAAAATGACAGTGAATGGAAAAATATATAAAGAGATTTTGAGCAAGAATAATTTCCAAAAATGGTATAAGTAGATCTAATCAAGATAAATTCGTCTCTTGACATTCATAATTTACACAACATTATAAATTAGACGTGTTTTTTGGCCAAGCCAACAATGCACGTCAGTCTTCAAGCTTTAAAAATATTTGTACTTACTTATCTCTAAACATGGGCATGGTTATTGTTTATTAAGCACATAATTAGTCGACTGCGCTAAGATGACGAGCATAATTTATCAACCTTGTTCAAACATCAAACGGCCCGAATAATCTTGACAAATTACTTAACAATTTTCAGTATAATATTAGTACGTATCTTAAGGTGACGCACAGAGACATCATAAAGCATGCTGTTTGTTGTATAAATAACCCTTGAGTTCCGTGACGTCTACAGCTTCATCACTTGGGTATTTAACAACGTAGTAATTAGTTAATTTAGTTTCCTGTCACCAACTCACAAATAATAAACTATTATTCTAATGTTTGTGTACATGTTAAGGATATTAGAGTATTGTAATAAACGCGGTCCTTTCGATCTACATTCATAAAAATTCCGTCCTTTAGTAGTACTTTACTAATTCATGTTTATTGATAGCCACGCGCTGAAAGTTGTTTGAATAATTGTTTTATTTAAAAGTTGAAATAATGTCATAATTATCTACGGAACACATTATATTAACATGGTTAATGTAAAGTTACAAATCAGACCAGTATTAAACGCGACTAGACTTTACTGTCCGAAAAAATAAAGCCTTGAAGGTGGCGAATATCTTCAGACACCATACAACCGCTACAACCTCTTTAGGTCTGGGCCTCAGATTTCTGAATCTGTTTCATGATCATTTTTCAATCTAATAGGCAAGTAGGTGATCAGCCTCCAGTGCCTGACACACGTCGTCGACATTTTGGGTCTGGGATATGTCGGTTTCCTCACGATGTTTTCCTTCACCGTCCGAGCGAATGTTAAATGCGCACATAGAAAGAAAGTCCATTGGTGGATAGCCAGGGATCCTACGACCTACAACCTCAGGGATGAGAGTAGCATGCTGAAGCCACTAGGCTACTAATAATAGCCACTATATTAGTCCTATAATGTGTATAAAAGTTTTAAGCAGAACATTTATACAACATATGTTTTTCAACTATATCATCTATAGAATTCCAATCTTAGGTATTGTTTTAAAACATATAAATCAAAATTCAGTTACATAATAAATGCAATATGTACATTGTACGTCTCTTATCAGTCAGTATGGTTTAACAGTTTTATTTGACTGAAGCACGTGAGATGACGCCCGTCACCCGTGTTGACAAACAATGAGCTTAGGATGGTCACATAAAGATTATTTGCCGTTTATAACTAAACACAATATTATGACATTATGCTAAGGCACCTTCACTAAAACTTTATTTTCCGCGAAGCCTCCACTGAGTAAAAACAATATTGTGTCAACGCAAACATTATGTTAATGATATTTCATAGAGGGCAGGTTCTTAAGAAAATGTAATATATTAATTACTTTTTAAATTTATTATTGTAATATAATGAATCTTTTTCCAAAAGAGTAAATGCATTTATTAGGTAACAGGTTGGCGTCGAGGCACCTATATAGTGATAGCAAATTTAAAATTTAAAACCACTTAACAAATGTGACGTGATTTTTATTAAAAAAAATTGACAGCCGTATCTCTGCATTGTATAAAATATTTTATTTTCTATAGCAAAATTGCCAGGTTGTGAATATAAAAGTATTTAAAAACTAATACACTTAAGCTATGAAGTGAGTGTTATCAAGTCAGCCTCGTGACATTATTGTTTTAACTTCTAATATTCGTACATCATGAAGCAAACGGCTGATATGTTCTCAGAATCAGTACTATGGTAACAAATATGTCCTATAATCATTATTTTCTAAAACGCAGTTTATTTAGGTACTAAGTATATCAGTGAATATTTTATACACATTCAAATTTTAACACTGAGGTTTATATATTGTTTTTTCTTAAATGATATCTTTGTATCGATATTTCTTTATTTGTATTGCCATAGGAACAAACGATAACTATATTTATAAATGTTCTGACGCATTGAAATGTCAATAATGTGAAATATCAAACAAACCTCCGGTAAGCAATGATGTTGGAGACAGTAATAGTTAGTGGAACCATCGTAATGACACCAAGTGCCGTCAGGAAAGTAAGGGTCCAGGCCGGCGTCATTCAGTTCCACTCGTGGGGCGTAAAAGCCACCTCCAACAGATCGTCTACAGAATATTGCACATCCCATCCACATACGAGCTAAAATAAACAAGCACAGATATTGAATCCTGCGCCCTCTAGTAAGGGTTAAGGCAAACATAATTAATTCAGTATAAAACTTATTAATTACTATATCGGGTAGAATTTCATAATACCACGTGGAGGGAAATTATATCGTAATATTAAAATGTTATGATTCATATTATAAAATTTTAGTTTATCATATGCCCAAAAATTCAAAAAATTCCAAACGCTTTCTGTGAAATATTTTTTATTGAGTCATCGTAAACAAAAAATCGTTTTGTTTATGCTACTTATCAGCGAAATCGGTAATGCTTACTCATAGTTTCTTTTTCATTTCCGATCTTTCCTTTCCAGATAAGGAAAGGCAAAAAATAATCTAACAAAGTCATGAAGCACCCTTTTTAATATTGTATTTAGACATTGGTTTATTGTTTAGCAGACAATGTTACAGCACGACTCTGAGACATTGTGAATGCTCATCAAATGTTAGATAAGTAAGTCTATTAATCTTACGTACATTGTATCTTGCCATACATTTTAAGTACTTGGCCTATGTTCGTATAAGGTCATATAAGGTACGAGCTCTTGTTCTATAAAGCTTGTGAGTCCTGGGCAAAAGAACTTACTTAGCGAAAAGAATGACGACGACAAATTTCTATGGTCATTCATCACGTGACCAATACAATTTTAAATTACGATACCAAAGCATACTTGTCTAAAGGAAAGGGTCTGAAACTTATTAAATGGCTCTTCATTAGATTATTATGTAGTAAACTCATGCAGATAGGTTTTTCATACAATTTTTTCGTGGCGTTTAATATTTGTCTAACTCATGGTATACTCAGACGCAAACGCATAATTATTTGTGAATACCTCGAAGATATATGTAAGTTATAGTTTAATTTGTTTCAGATTCATAACCTTAGTCTAATAAGGAAACACAAACTCACTGGGGTCATGTGGGGCCTGAAGGCCGCCGCCGCGTGAATCCAACGTTGGAACCATTGAAGCATATTCTGTACACTTTCTGGCAGCTAACTCGTTTGCACTGACTCGAGTTTTCTTACCGCAAACCTATAAACAGGCGCATTTGACAGGTATTTTATGTCGGAGCAATGGCGTTAAAGTTAGCTCCATATTTTGAACTATTTATCAGAGCTTTAATTAACAAGGTTAACGTTGTACTTTAACGTCAAGTAAGTCAGTTCAAGACCTTCTTTAATTAATATAATTTGATTTGCACATATTGCTAGATCTAGAAATGCAGCCGATAGTAACGCCTTTGCTTCGACGTAGGGTGTTCGTTAGTGTACATTTATCATTTCCTCGGGAATCGAATCTACTTATATTTCGGTCAATATACGGATCGACCAAATAGCAAACTAATATCTAATAAAATATTCCCGCCTGCTTACATATGCCCTTGTAAAATACGGAATAAGTGGTACTTATTTTTTTAATAGATTTTACCTTAGTGTCTTCACATAGTGCGACATCATACGAAGCACCTTCACAGCTAGCTGCAGCAGGACAGGATCTCCTTCGCTCCTTTGATCCACGGCCTTTGTAAGTGCAACCCGACTTACACTCTCCAGAAGTCCATACACTCCAGCTAGTGCCACTAGATGGCGTCTCGGTTGGTTTGTATGATGGATCCACTAGCATACAAGTACCGCCGTCACACCACTGAGGAATGGTAATATATATGTTTTAATTATATATTTAGTAACGATATTTTAGTTTAAACGTTTTTGTTTATCTTTTAATTTTTTGTAAACAAAATCTCTTACTTATTTTAATAATTGGTTATGCTTGATTAATAAAGGTAAAATTTATAAAACATGCGCCTAAATTTTGCATCTATCTGAGACATGTTGAGTTTTCTAAAAAAATTTGTGCGTTTGGAATATTTTTTTAATTACTGCAGTCTGCAATCGGTACAAAGTTCGAGGGTCCTCCACTTCGTTTCGCATTTTACTTAATTTGGCCGCCAAGCCCTCACTTTTCTCGCTTTAACAATGATAACATTTGTATAATATGTGATGGAAATTATAAAAACAATAATTATTGAACGACATACTACTTACTTGTTTAAGCTTAAAAATGAGATTGTTATTATTTTAAACTACAACTTATTTGCGTTTTCTTGTCTTGTTGTCTACGCTACTTCAGAAAGACAAATATAATGAACGCGTATTTGCTTCTTTTAGGCATGTAAACGACCTCAAAATTATTCATTAAATTAATTATGATAAATTTGCTCTGTATATAGGCCATCGTCCTCAAGTGGCTTTACAAATATCAAAACAGTAAAAAATATTCTTGAATAAACCTTTCCATGACCACAGGAGGTCCCTGGCAGAGCAGGCCCAGAGTAATAAAACCCAGCACGATGCGGAGTCCTGCAGGTGAGTTGAGCGCAGATACCGCTGCCACTATCAACTGGAGATGCGTCCTTGTCTCTCAGTAGTACCTATAATATAAATAACTAAACAATGAGAGAAAGAAAGTTGTTATACTAATGGAGTTGATATTCGTTTAAGCCATTGTTAAACAGCTAGTTTTAGACTTGGAACAAACACCAAAATTATAGTAGCATCTACTCCAGATGATATCACATTTATACGTATGTTTCACACGCAGTTCGAGCTAAGTTTAACAATGGTACTTATTAATAATAAGTAATTAGAACTAGAACGTAACAGCAGCACGGACTATGTGATACTTTTTACCACAAAGCCTATTTAATGTAGTTAATTATAGTATTTAAATAGAAGATAATATCTAATAATTGTACCTCACATTGTTTCTTGGCACCCCAACTCATACCGGGATAGCCTCCAAATCTGCTATGCTGAAGTTCCTTCGGGGTGTCCAAATCATCATCACCATCAAAAAGACATGTCGCCCATCTGTGAAATATCAGTTTCGTAATGGATTCCTCTCATACAACTAGTTTTAATTGGAGAAGACTGAAAATTTGTTACAGAATTTTTTAGCCTACTTTTAAATTCTTTTTTCCAGAATTATCTACATGACGACATATAATGATGTGCGACTATTTGCATCAGCATATAACCGGATATCAACCAATGAAGACAAGCATAATAGGCCAGATCTTCTTTTACAATAATCTATTTCGATAGTCACAGGACACTCACTGCAAATCAGCTGCGACGCGTGCGCTGCAGTGTGACCACGTTGCCTCTCCGTTAGTTCCACGAGATGGCGACATTATGAAACCGTCCCTTGCGCACGAGTTTCCTGATCCATCGTGATGCATGCCCAGACTGGAATGTATTAATGTATTGTATATAATGGAAAACATTTATCACAATATCTGCTATATTTCAATGGTCAATTATTTATAGTATAAACAAATAACCAGTTTTCGTAAACGATGTAAGTACGTTTAATAATTTTAGTATAGGTTTTTGTTTTGTATATATTAAGCCTTGTTTCTTTGAAATATAACCTATTGGTAGGAAACGTTTAAAAAGTAAGAATAACCAAAGTAAATTCATGTTATAAGGTCAATACCATTGAAAAAACCTACTCTATATTACCTGACCCCGTCAAACTGTGGGTGAAAAGCGTTTAAAATAGCTCAAATAAATAATTAGTATCTTAATAAATAGTAACTTAAAATATACTAATTATAAGTATTAGTTGTGAGCATTATAACAATTTTAAACAGACTTGTGTCCTATTTCATGAGCTAGAATGTAGACGGATGTGAAGCCGGCTGATGGATAGGGTCTGCCCAGAGTGTCTGTGGTGCCGAATTCTGATACTACACAAGCATGGGCGGGCAGACAAACGCCGCCGACGGGTGCTAGGCCCATGGTTACTCCATTGCGTCGACCGCCTTCCTCGGAGTAGAAGTCCAATCTGAAATATATTAAGTTCTTTTATCAGAACACTAACATTTTACTACGAACTACACTTTCTATGAAAGCTTTTTCGGTGGACCAGCTTCTTACCTTAGTTGGTGTAACATTTGTACTTTCTTCGTACCTATGGGCCTAAGGACCTAAAGATCATATAAAGATGACTGGATAAGCTAAGAAAAACATGAGTATTTCGGTTTGCAAGAGACACACAATTATCACTTGCCGCTGGAACACAAACTCGAACACGAACACAAAATCGGAGCAAAACGGACACTTATTATTGCAACTCACCTTGTGAACAGTCTTCTATATTACCATAAATACAACACACAATATTGTGTTAAAGTTGCAGTTTAAATACATTTTAAAAGGTAATCTTAAAATTATACATATTTTTATCGTAATCAGAGAATGTTTTCTTAGAATCTTAAGTAAATTTCTTAAAAGTTAAAAATGTAACAATTACCCTGACAAGAGCAGAGCCATATCCCAATGTTGAGGGTCGTCGTCATCTTCTACGTTGAGTGACCGCTGGTAAGCACAGAAGGAGTCAAGAAGCCGGCCTCTCTCTGCATGGGGTGGTAGTCCACTTGGCTGAGAGCGAAGTAGCGTCAACCGCACCAACGAAAGCTGAATTCGGGTTCCCAGCGACGGGTGATGGTAGAGAGCTTGCACCTGTAGCATTTATATAATCCATTATATTGAGGTTTAAAGCAATATAATAACGCAACGCCTTCTTTGGCAATAATATTTACAAATATATTTATAATAATGCATAACAAATGGAATTCCTCACATACGAAGACAGGATCCGTCGCGTTATGAGTAGTTTAATAGATACGCCTACGAAATATGAATGTCCGAGGCTGACACATATTTATGATAAATGTTGTTTGTAATCCAGACATCGAATTCATTACCCTCTTCATTGTGCCATGGAGATAACTTATTAGACTCAACAAAGTAAATTGCTAAGGTAAGGTCTGTGTCACACTGTGGACAAAACCTACTATTTATCTGCATACGTACGTACCGTTAAATTTGAATTTTGTAATTAAAAACGAATCAAGAATAATAATCACAGCAACTTAAACAAATATAATATAAAACAGGAAAAAAAATGTTAATACGCTCTTTGTTTGAGATGCGACGACGAAAATCTAATTTGATAAAATTATAAGCATCAAAGTGAAATTGATAAATGGCAAATGCTATCTTTTATCTCGTACTCACGAATTAAGCGGGATTTCGGTTAAAATATTTTTTCAATCATCAAAAAGTCTCAATCTTTTTCATATCGTAGTAAAAAAATATTGTCTCCGATGCTTTCTAAAATAAACTAAACAGCACCAGTGTGTCTGGAACTTTATCATAAAATCCAATAGGTATACTTACGCCGTTAATATAAGCCAACAGCATATCACGAAGTTCGCCTTCATTGTGGTTGAGGTACGGATGAAAGATCTTATACGCCGACTCGTCGAGGAATAGGGCAATTTCAATAGTGTAGGACGAGGGGACAGGCTTTGACGGGTAGACACGTGGTCTCCGCGGGCTGTGGCGTAATGGTCTGGCGTCGTTATGAGTCAGCGGTGGCGGCGCGGCTCGCCGGATGATGTGAGCAGCGCGGCCTTGCTTCATTTCCGCCCGCCCCCCGCGTGGCAAAGGACGTACCTCATATGTGGAGTTGTCCGTTACGATAAGGCCATGCTAAAAGGAAAGACACAAAATGGGTGTCAGTCACATTCAAAAGTCTTTCATTAATATCACTATGCTTCTTTCAATAAGTCGTTAGCTGATGGCATACAATTTTACGGTTGAATAACCTTTCTGTATAGATAAAAATAAAATTAATCAACTATGGAACTCTGAGAACTGTTGTATCACCTTAATACTGCAGTCATACATAGTTTAAAAAAACGCTACCGATATACTCCTAACATTTGAATTCAGGCAAAAGTACATGTCTGGAAATCAAAATGATAATTACAGCCAGCCTTTATTGATTTTTAAATAAAGTCGAGAGAATGTGTTAACGTATGTTATTTCAAGAATAGCATAGAAATTTCGAACAGAAGTACTTATTATAAGGCTCATATTTACTTGTCTAACCAATTAATCAATATATTTTAGATTTGAAGTACATTTGTGTAATTTTATGTGGACATATTTATTACATCTGATATATCTAAACAAAAATCATCGAACACGATATAGCATACTTTTCTTGCTATATTGTGTTCGGTAAAATATAGCATGAAAAGAAAGCATGCTTGACATTAATTGACAAATTTTACCAGCGCATGGTCTTTACAAGCGGAGAAGGCAGCAACAGAGTCGGTTCCTGCGTGAAGATAGTGGCAGCTAGCGTCTACATCGGATAGAGGTTCTTCTTCCCCTTTTTCAGACCACACACGGAACTGCGGTGCTAGCAAACGTCTGTTTGGCACCAATTGCAAATCGAAATCTCTGCAACATTATTAAAAACTTGTGGAAAGCACACAATAATTCCTATTCTCTAGAAATCTAATCTACTAAAATGTGCATTTCAACTGTAGTCATCTTTGCCTATATCTCAATATAAGAAATGTGTTACTTATGTCGTGGTGAAAAGTGAACCGGAAGCACAATAATTGAAGTGACATTTTCTTCGTATTAATAATAACATTTTAGTTTTTTTTAACCGAAGTCATGTCTTTGTCTGTTTAATAATTATTTACAAACCTTCCAAAAGCATTGAAACTGTAGGAAAAAGGAACATCGTCCTGTTTTGATTCGGACGATAGCGCCTCCCTGGGCACAAGCTTTGGCAAATAAACAACTTGAACATCTTTGTCCACAGCCTCCGACCCAATAGATACTAAGTTTTCCAACCACCATCCATATAACGGTTTCTGTAAAAATTTAACAATGTAAATGTTAAATATGTTGATTGCATTTGTAAAACGCTTAGAATAAATGCGGTACGGCCCAATCAATACAGGAAATAAGGTAAACTTCTAAACCGAAACGTTTTCGTTTAGCCGGAGTTCGAACCGCTGACCTGCTGAGTTACAAGAAAAATTAAATCTAATCATTTACCTTTATTTTTGTATATTTTTTTATATAAAACCAAATTTTACTATAGACAAAGAATAAAAACAACACGATGCTGTCAATGGTTTATATTTTAAACGCTCTCTTAATACAATTTAAATGTAAGATATAATGATATATTCTTATTTATTTATTTGAAAGTAAAAATTGAACATATATTTTAGAATAAAATCAAACTATGTCACGTATTAAATGGCGCACTTTCTTAACTGCTTTTTAATAAGTAAACCCACTTATATTTAACCACTCATCTGAAGTACAACATGCTAAAAGATTACTCATACAACAATACTTTCCACAACAATCAATGTAGGTATCAAGATCGAGCTTAAAGTTTCTGAAAATCGAACAAGGTCAACTTATTAGCGATAATTGTATTTGAAATCGCGTTTTGTGCATGTGAATGTTTATCTAATGAAAGTGACCCAGCTACTTAATTTCATAGTAAGAATTGGCCATTGTAACATTATAAAACTAACTCGAACACTTGAATTTTTGCAAAAAAAAAACTATTTATACCCATGTTGTAAGGGACTGCAAGGGTATTTTTTTAAATTATAAGGCTTCATATTCGTGCAAAAGAATTACATCTAAATATTATTACTGTAACCTTTGGTAATTGTTATTTGACCTTGTAAAACAGCCCAATATTAAAATTACTTTGTGCGCGCAATAATATTATGAACACGGTGTTTTTGTACATTGTTATATACAGGTATAATAATAAATATAAGTAGTAAACTGTGGAACTGTCAAGATCCAATTTAATCGTTAATATATTCTATTCTATTCTAAAGTCAAAGGGTTGTATCTAGTCTAGTTTATAAGGTTTTAGTTAGAATTCCTGCGAAAGTTCCAGCGAAGTTTTTACGCAAGCACACGGATGCTCTCCTACTGTACGGAGTATATAAATAAACACAAAACGAACATTTAATAAAAAGGGGGTGTAGGTGTCATGTGACGGTATATTTAACTAGTTCACATATCATTAAAATAATAAAGAGGTTAGTGAAAACGAAATGTATTAGCGCTTCAGAGCCAACTAAAAGGGAAAGTTTATTTGTTTTTCTATTAAGAGGCAAGTGAATTTAAAAACCTCAAATGCGATGTTTCGTAAACTAATTCTTAGTTCTGTATCAAAGTTAATCAAATCGATCTCAATGACGAGAATCTGCTATCGCGTCGTAGAAATAAAACGAGACAGTGAATCATAGCAATTTGATTGAAAACTACGTGCTGTTAACGCTTGTGTAACGATACTACGTGATTCAGTACAAAGCCATAGTGCCGCATCGTCTTATGTAATGTAATTGCCAAAATAAAATTATAGGTTTAAATGGTTACGCGAATCGAGGTGAAAGTAATTTTGACTTTAATTGTGTTACATTATCAATAATTTTATGTAATCAAAGATCGATAATTATTTTCATACTTGCCATAAAAGAAGAGAAACAGATGGTCGAATAACAAGATATCTTATCCTTAAAGATAGAGATATTATAAACTATAAATAATAGGTAAATGGAAATATAGGTAGGTTTCACTTTTGATACATATGCATTATATATAATATATATGTATATATATATATATATATATATATATATATATATATATGTATGTATGTATATATATATATATTAAATAGAAATTTAAAAGTCAATAGTTCAGAAGTCAAATAACATATCATCACATATCAAGGTAATTTAATGGGTAAACCCACACATGTGCTTTACAGATTTAAATTGTAACAAAGGTTTGTCTGTTCTGTTCACTAAAAATTGATAAGCATTGTTTTAAATACAGTATATTTGATATTAGTTTACTTTGTCATAATATTAAAGAAATGTCGTCTTCCGTCGCCAACAAATTAAGCGAAAGTAATAGCCCTTTGAAAATAATACCTAGACAATTCTATAAATATGCTTTGTGCCTTGACCTGGTCAGACGAGGCTTCTGAAGGTGTTTTTATTTCTGTGCTTACATAAAGCTTAAGGAGACAACATTCGCCGATGTTTTGGTTGAAATAGAACCTACTGAACGATGTTGAATCGATGAATATTTGTAAGATAATTATGCCAGAATGAGTAAAGGAGAAAATTTGGCATTACGATAGAAAATAGTCTGGATATATAATTTACATTTTTAGCCGATTGCTATTCCCGTAATTGAAAGATGATAGTAGAATTCATATTTATGCAAGGTAAGTTGCATGTAATATTATACAATACATTTTTATAAACGATGCCATTTTTTTTTAAACCAAGAAAAGTTCTCTCGTCTTTTTCTTTTATTTCTATACCAAGGAAGACTCTCCGTGTCAGTTAAAAAGAGTTTACAATTACTTATGTCGAATTTATGTCAATGTAAACGTTTTTCAGGTACTTCGGAATTCATATAATGAATGTATTACAAAAGTTACTCATCATTTTAACGGTTTTTATATTATTTACTTATGTTACACATTGTTTTTCGAACAAACGTGTTGACATGTTCACTCTTACTTAACCGTTATCTTGGTTTTAAGAATTTAAGAATGGCAGTGAATATATTAACCGTGTTAATTTTAAATATAAATATTATGACTACTATTTATTATTTCGTGCTTTTATTATTTTTGTTATAAAGATGGTAAAGTTGAATTTCATTATGATCCTTGGAAACAGATTAAAGCTAAGTTGAAACATTCCGTTTCCGTTTCCGTTTTTATTTCATAATACAAAATAAAAGGCCACACAAATTAAATTTACCACGAGAACCATGAATAAATTAAAAATGGAATTACTTTTTCGTTTACGCATTAATAATTAGGTATCATGTTTTTACTGTTGTTGTTATTTTGTAAAAAAATATTCTTTACATAAATGCATTCTTTTATCTTCTTGATTTATTAGGGCATTAAAAATTATTATAAAATAATAAAATATAAAAGCGCCGCCCGCCCAAGCGCTCGCATACTTACGGAAAAATGCGCAGGCGTGCCGGTGTGTAGCGCGAAAAACAATATAACTATCACTGTTTTAATTTGAAAAGCCATCGCTCTGTAACATTTCACTTTGACGGCGTCTTTAAAGTTAACGGAAACTTCACGGGCTCTTCTTTATAAGCGCGAAAGATGCAGGTACTTTGAATATCGGTAACGCGAACGTTGCACTGACAAGGGATCGTTACTGTTTTAGATTAGAACGCAAACACTGCCTCACTTGCTACCGAAAGACGGAATAACCACCGCGTGCCCCCAGAAAACCTTTCGCACCTCTGAGAGAAAGTGGAAGGAAAGTGCAGATTTTTGGCTGTCATGTCACCGCCTACACTCGGGCGGTCCCCTTAGGAGCATTATAGCGCGTCATCAATCATTTCATCCATCAAACGGCTGGATCCATTAAAGATGGGATAAATCGATATCTAATAAAAAGTTCAGTCCAGTAGAATATACAATTTTTTTCAGTAAATTAGTTTGGAAAAATTAGGTAAATAAAATTAAAACATTCGGATTTTTAAATTTAAATTAACTGCCGTAAAAAGAATATACTATTTAAATGTATACTTTTTCAAAATAATTTCTTTATTATCTAAATAGGTACAAACTAATTAGCTTTTTCAAGAAAAAGCCCGCATTGTTCATGTTGGTGGGTAATAAATTCCTTGGGATGGTTCCATCTATTAGATGGTTACAAAAGGTATAAGAATTTGGAGGTTTCAGTAAAACCTTTAATAATAGTTCGCTCTATTTCTTTTCTTGAATTTGGAACCTAAAGCAATACTTTTTACGTTTAAACTGTTGCTAAAAAGCTTAAGCAGTGGTAATATAATTAATGTAATATAGCTCACAATATGTCTTGGTGAGTACGCAAATAGGGAATGTAAAAATAACTGATTGCTAACAGAAATTTACGTCTATAGGTATAGATTACATCTTTACACATTATATCAATATTTATATAAATTATTTGTTAACTTATCTTAAACAAAATAATTAAGAGAGTTACTGAAAAATCAACCTAACTGTGTTCAATCTCGATTAATAAATGCAAAACAACACCTTTATTTTTAAGTACTGCAATAATAGTTTAATACGTACTATAAATTATTATAGTAGTCTACGTAGGTCTGTCTAGACTTTGTAATGGACCATTCCCCTTTTTGAATTGCAATTTCCTCAAAGTATTAAAAATTATATCTTGATTTAATTTCAACACTTTACATAACTTGTTATATTTTTTTTTTATTCCTCACTAATCTTCACACCAATGATCAACTGAATACAACCAATGTAAAAGTGAACTCTTTTTTATCAAGTCTGTCTCATCGTTCGTTTTAAGTACTTACACGGGAACTTACAAAATACCTAAGAACTTTGTTCTCTCATAATTTTTGTTCCCAGAGCTTACGTATCTAGTTTTAATACCATAGAGGTAAAATATATTTTGTTTTCTCTTTTATTATTGTTCTCTTATTTCCAATATTTTTGTACAAATGTCGTTACGTTTTCTAAGTATTACCAATGCTAAATACTTGCTTGTCTAATTTGCCTTGAGACGTCTCAAGGCTATATTGTAAGAACAAAGTAAAATGTAAACAGATACAAAGGTAAGACGTATTTATTACATATTTATTACAGAGTGTTCTCATAATTAGATTAGGTATAAAATTTGTAAAGGGTGTAGTTAAAATTATCTTACTCCTTATCGTTTATTAGGGGTTTTTATGTTACGGAATTTCATCATTGTTTTTAAATACTTACCTACCTCTTTCTTTGTTATATATATTCATTTATAGTCGTGGTTGTAAAAGAACCGTAACTTTGCACACTGGGTAACATCCACACGATATTGGCAGGTAGAATACGAGTCCTGAATAATAATGCAAATATGCTTATTAATTTGCACATATCTTCTTCATTTTATACCAACTTGTCAAGCTAACTCCTTCAGTATAGTTTCATAATGAAATAGATTGAGTACGCGTTTTAATTAAAAGAGTAATAAAGCCGGTTAAACGATATTCGTGCCTTATGTGCACATGTTCCAACATTGGTGATTCACTTGTAGCAAAAAAACAAGGGACGACGGCAAGTGACGCAGCGAGTCATTGATCCCGGTGCGTTCCCGAGCGATCGACGCCATGCTCGAATACGGGTCCGCTACTCCGCCTGCCCCGCTGTTCTCTCCGCTAGTCCTTGTGATATTTATTGCGTGCGTCGCTGGCGCTGCAGCTCTTCTACAATGTGCGCTAGTTGCCGCGATAATCAAACGGACAAGAAACGGTATGTTATGAACTTCCTAAATCATGCAATATTCTACATATTTGGAACATTACGTATTTTGATACTGTGCCTATATTAACTATGTATAATTTATAATATCTACCTGATGAAGATATTTTATTCGACAATATTAATTCTAGAAACGTAAACGTACCTATAGTTAGTAAACGTAGTAAACGTTTTGATTTCACTGTTTAAAAATAATGAATAAATAAGAAGATACAATTTAAGGTGAATGCCCGTTTTACTTCAACGTTAGGAATCGTTGGTGAAACCTGACAGAAGTCTCGTAGCTATGGTAGGTACCTACTTCAATTTGAACATAACATTCAAAGTAAGATTTCCCTTTCCAGGTTTATACTGTCTTATTCTCCAACTCATTGTGGCTGACTTTGTGCTACTCAGTGCTTCGATCGGACCAGAAATTTGGACTACAAATGCAAAAACCTGGGACTTCGGTAAAAGCACCTGTGTAACATTTCGAGGACTCGGCGTATTTGCTTCAACAGCATCACTTTATTTGGTCGTTGCTATTGCACTACACACATTAGCGACCATTAATCTCGAAGAAAAAGTCGCGGCTCAGAATAAGCGGAGTACTATTATAGATGATGAATCGAGGTCTTCACGGCACAGCCTTGTGGCGAACAGTGATACATCAACTCCAACCCGCACTATGAATGTCGATTATAGACTTACAACTAATACCAAAGTTCCTATAATACCCCCATCACTTTTTATATGGTTTTTAAGTGGGTCGCTCTGCATTCCTGAATTTGCATTATCCAATACTGTACCACTTGACCATGATATAATTGTTTGTGGCTTAGTAGATTCAGGCCACAGATTCAACATCTATTTTATGCTAGCAATTTTTAACTTTTTTATACCTACCTTTATAATGTCTGTCGCTGGTGTTTTGGTAGGATTTAAATTAAGTTCGAAGCATTTTCGAAAGAATGATAAAGAATCGGTGTCGGCTTTAAAATTTTCCTTAAGTTTAATTTTAGTCTATTTCATAATGTGTTCACCACGCTCCCTCCTTTGTGTATATGAAATATATTCAAATAACTATAGCGATAGACTCAAAAACGAGAACAACTTATTTTTAACGATTAATTTAATGTGTAGCAGCGTATATTTAGTGTCAATATTATTAAAACCCCTACTGTGTATTACACTGATACCTAGAATTAGAAATAAGTTTTCATTGTATTCAGGAAATGTTGTAGAAGTATAATTGTCATATTTTCCTGTGAGAATATGTTGTCTTGATAAAAATTGGTTTAAACGTGGGGTGACTAACGTGACCAGACGTCCCGTTTTGAACGGGACTGTCCCTTTTTCTAATTACGAGTCCCGGTGTCCCCGAAATGAACTGTGGGACGCAAAATTGTCCCGTTTTCAGAAAGCGCGCGAAGATAGATAAAAAAACGTGCCAAAAGTTTCATTCATATTTGAAGTCGTCGCCTACTATATTAAAACAAATTTGTTCTTCTGATAAATATAACTAAACATTTTGGGTAACAAAACATAGGTAATATTTTGTGATTCGTAACTTTTATGCCAACTAACTTTTTCTAAATAAATAACTTTTAATTTTTTTTTTCATTGACTACTTATAGGACCTAATTTGGTTTAAATTAGGTCAATGTCCCGTTTTGAGTCAAAGAATAAAAGGTCACTAGGAATTCCACCAAATTACGTCCGTTTCATAGACCCTTTAAGCAGTAAGTTATTAATACCGATATATAATATAATCGCTTAGGAGATGTCTTGATGTTTTTAGTTATATTGTCTATTGAAACTTTATGGCGGATCCTATTAGCTCTGTATTCGAAAACAGTAGATGCCCCTAACAGTTAGCTATGTATTTTTTTCTCACGAGTAATTTGATGTCGGAAAAAGTTCCAACTTTGATTGACCTTTGTTTTGGAAAAAGCGTTTATTTTAAAAAGTCTTAGTAATAGAATTATTAACATTTTTTTATCGTTCTAGACATTAAGTGAATCAGTTATTTATGAATAGATAAGGATTAATTAGATCGAGTCCATCATCTAATCACATTTAAATATTTTATTTTTAAAATCTAGGTAATCTATTTTTTTTATATGGAACCCGTAGATAACGTTAAACTTAAACACTAAAGACAATTTTTTGTTACTACTAAATTAACTAAGTCAAAGCCTAGAAATGAAACATTACGAAGTAACCTAATTAAAAATCTATAGCTTTGCGCAATCTGTTCTTAAAAATGTATAGTAGTTTTAATAAATACAAATAAATCCTGGCTACTCATTCATACAGTCTTCTTGTTTAGCTGGGATTAGACCACAGGACCCCTGGTTATAGACCATTGTAAATCAAAGTCATAAAAGAGTTAGAAATTAGTAAGCAATTTGTTTTACGTACGAGACCTCATATGTAGCTAGTATAGACTCTGGCTAGAAACCGTAGTGGAAATTCATACATGTTATTATCACGTGTAAACAGTAAATAAAATAATACAATGTATTTTATCATATAAATCAGTTTCATTTCACTTATTTCTGTTGCGTTTTGCGATTTTTAAATAACCATTTCAGCAAGTATTATATTTTCTCAACGCAAAACACTTAAGTACTAGGTCTGATCTGAAGCAAATATAACCTCTACTCTTACCAATCGAAAATTATCGAGATGGCAAATTATATCCCAATACCCTTTGTAAGGAACTAAGACGAAGAAAATGACGAATGTTAATTAAATAGTTAAAAATCTTTTAGGGGTTAATAAGGTGGCTGTTTATTTTCAATATTGATTTCTAAAACTAAAAATTGTATTTAATACAAAAGTTTATTGGTGAAAACATGAAAAATATAATAGATTAATTAATGGCTGATAAAATGCAGCAGAAATGTTACAATATTTGTTCCATCATAAATCTATTTTGCTAATAAATGCCTGAAAATTCAGAATGCTTAGTGACGGGCACAACAAAATAGTTAATGTCATAATACACAACGTATACCTTTGGTTAATTCTTTAATGGTCGAAGAAAACGGAAGCCGCGTTGACACTAACTACTTTTTTGTGCCCAAAATACAGCCATTATGTACAGTTGCGATTTATATTATTATGAAAATCTAATTTCATCGGGTTATTGGGCGTAATTTAACAATTTTTTTAAATAACTAATTGCATAATTTTAAACATTCACCATCATGATTTCTTCATTTCACTGCGGACATGCGGCGAAAGGAATGTTATCGGGGGCCGACCGGGCTGCTCGTTACACTTAAAGGAAAACACTTTTAACTTAAGAAACCGTAATTTTAATAACTTAAGTTATAAATATTTATATTCATCAGGTCAGCTCGATATCTGTAATCCAGTGTAAATACAGAAATACAAAACCGTCAAAGATGACACAACATTTAATTTGAGACGGATCGCGAAGGTCCGCTGCGAACACGTGAACATTTACAAGCGACGACTCGCGGGGGCCGGCGTCCTCGAATGTTACTCGTACAAAACACCGATGGGAGGAGAATGGAGGGCGAAGCGCCTTAGTTGTCGCCGCCTTCGGCGGGCTCGTCGCCGTCGCCCTGCGTGTCCGACGTCCACAGCGTCAGGTTGTCTCGCAGCAATTGCATGATCAGTGTCGAGTCCTTGTACGAGTCCTCGTTAAGCGTGTCCAGCTCTGCGATCGCGTCGTCGAATGCCTGCAACGCACATACGTTTTATCCACGTGGCCGATAGAGTAGACTCAAAATAATTCAGGATTTTATATCAATATTAAAACAGCAAATTAGAACTAAGGAACTAGTTAACCCTGGTGCTGGCTGGGTCGAGTGTTATTGGTTAATCGCTTGGGGCCATGCCGGGGCAGTATTAGTTTATTTGCCAATGATAAAATCGAGTCATGCAACACTAGTCTTGTAAGTTATTAGTGGGATGAGTTATGTAATCGCACTCTCGACACGATCGCATCGTTTTGAACCTGTTTGGCTAAGTGGCACGCCCGCGCTGGGGAGTTGATAATCTCGTAATAGAATACGGAAAAGTTGAGGGCGAGACCGAGCCTGATGGGGTGTGTCGGTTGCATTTTGGCCTTGGCGATGTCGAAGGCCTCCTGGTAGGCCTTCTGCGAGTCCTCGACTACGGCTGCGGACAAGCAGACACATTACCGACTGAGCCCGACTCTCGCGCCAGCCAGCACTGAGTTTACCAACTGACGCAAATAATGACCTGTTTGGCGAGATGACACGCTTTGTCTGGTGAATTTAATATCTCATAGTAGAAAACTGAGAAATTTAACGCCAAACCCAGCCTGATTGGATGTGTGGGTTGCATTTTGGCCTTGCTGATTTCGAAAGCATCCTGGTATGCTTTCTGTGAATCCTCTACAACAGCTGTAATTGAAAGTTATTAGATCAAATTTATATAATATATGGTCCAAATTGAATTTGTAAATAAAACTTTTTATACTTTTTTAATTCTTAAAACTAGTTATTAAAATAAGGTTATAATATTTTTATAGTTGCAACAATAAACATACAATTTCTGGTTTCTCCTGTGGCCACTTCTGCGAGGTACCTGTAGTAGTCTCCTTTCATTTTAAGGTAAAATACTTTACTTTCTGGATTACTAGCTTTAGGAATAAGGTGTTTGTCAAGTAAACCCTGCAACAAAAGAAATTTGAATTGAGTTCCAATATACTTACTAAAAACAAGGAGTATATGTACTTTGTTGAGAGAGAGTTTTCTAAAATAGATATACATATTAACGTCTGACTAACTTAATCCGTGCCAACCTTTTAGATTAATAAGAACAATCATAAATGAACTGCCAATCTTTGAGTCGCATTCTTCTAAAATAGTAAAATGATAAGGTGGGCAAGGATAGAAGTCAATAAAATAAACTAGAAGGATAAGGGCAACGAACGAAGCAAGCGCGGACCAGGCGAGCAGGCGCGCGCAGTGACGCGGCGCACTACGTCACGCCGCCCCGCCCGGGAACCCCTCCGCGCCCCACCCTGCCCTACGAACTGCTCGTCGACCACCCACCCAATCTATTCCATTAAATTTCATTAAAAAATATGCAAATTTACACCATGACTGCCAGTGCCATGATTGCATCATAAATTAAATTGGCAAGTAAATAAGATGACGTCATTGGCGTAGGAACGCAAAAGCTGACATCAAACGTTAATTCACTTAAAATGTGTAATATCCGTAGACTGCGGGATGTAGATCAGTATCTGGAAGAGAAATGATAGTCATTTCACTTACCAATACATCATAGCAGATTTCTCTGAGCTCCTTTTCTACTTTTACCCTATATTCTTTTGCCATCTGTTGTTTTCTTTCGGAACCTTCGGTTTTCTGTTCGATTGAGGATATAACTCGCCATGAGGATCGCCGGGCACCCACAACATTTTTGTAGGCGACGGAGAGGAGGTTTCTTTCTTCGTTGCTGAGCTCGACGCCGGTCTCAGTGACTTCTTTCATCGCGGCCGCCATGTCGTCGTATCGCTCAGCCTGCTCCGCCAGCTTGGCGCGTTGCACCAGTTCCTCCTTGTCGACGGACATTGTGAATGAAGTGTGTGACGACTATATTACTGATGCCCCTGTAATCAATTTGTTATATAAGTGGATGCTATTAAAGCAAATCGATGAATGCGCGTGAAAGAATTCCTCAGAAAGACTAATCGTTAAGGCGTCACTTTCACCAAGTGAATCCAATTGGGTAAATGAGTCATCATGAAAGACGGCGCACCTTGGACAGGCTCACAGGCGCACCCGCGCAATGTATAAATTCAACGTAGCTCAGAGAGCAACCCTCACGCCAATCGCGACATCGACGCGGCGTCCGTTCGGTATGACAGCATCTCACAGACTCGGCCGTCGGAGGCACGCGCCGTCGCCGGGCCGCCTTTCCGTTAACGCCACTGCGCCAACGGTATTGATCCGCCGACACGGGATAACACTCCAGACGAAATACGACTAGCGCGACGCTTGCACACCCCTCCACCCCCACCCCGCTTGCACCGCGCCCTCCCGACTACCCGGCGCCTACCTACTAACTACCCTTATCTACTATATTATATGCTGCTTTCTGTTCAATACCCTGTTGCTAAGGTACCAGTCATAATTGGCTTTAGAGCTATTCTCAAATTTATTACTGACACACTGATAAATCCTACTCAGATTATCACATTTTAATTTTTTGGTATTGTCTTATATTTGAATTAAACTTAAGACATCAGGACAATATTCTAGAAAGTGGGTGTGGCACTAGAATATTTTTCGATTTAATTGTTTTAATGGAGCCTTTGTGAAATTTTACTACTTAATGAGATGGCATTTTTATTGCTAAGTCAAAATTTTATCTTCTCATCTTTAGGGAATCACTACAAGTCAATTAGAACGTACATTGAAATTTAATAGAAATTATCACATTGTCGTCAAGTTGGATTAAGATTTAATTCATACAGGTTATTTATAAATACTGTATCATATTTTACAATACAGAAGCTGATTGTAACTTTAAATTGATTTATAAATCAAATAACTACATACTATATTAAAAACTATATCAACATTTATTAAAATAGGTATCTAAAGACAAAATAGTAAAACCTTAGTCAACATACATTATCCAACCTTTCAAACTTTCTATTGTGATCCCAATAAAAATAATTAATAATAATATAGCCAGGGATTTGGAACAGATATTTAAAATTTAAATATTTGATTAAAGAAAAATTAAAAAAAAAAAGATACAAAAATATCTAAGTAATTGAAATAGCCTAACATGCTATGCCTAATGATTAGTATAATAGATCATGACTTTAAATACTGAGGTAATAAATAAAACCATGTTCTAAATATATCTAGCCACCATCCTGAGCTTCAAGGAATAACTTAAGGTGAGTCATAGAATTAAATGTTTAACCGTTTGCAGGATAATAATTAAGCCGATATAATCACTTTTCATATTAAAAACCCTCATAGATCTGAGAAGAGAAAAGATCTTATGGTATCGTGACCTTTTTAAGTTACCAATACGCACGTGCCTACCTCATGAGATGTAGGTTCTTAATGGATAAATTATTTTTATTAACCAATAACGATAGCATTAAAGCCAAGTTAAATGTCGAATCTCAAAACCAAGTTCATAATGACATTAATTATAAGTAATAGAGATAACGGCGTGACCAAGACCCAAGGTAAAATTACGACGCACTTGCTTAGTTCACTATAAAAAAAAATTAACAGAAAAAAAGCACTTAACCCTAACCATTTAACATAACATAGTGTCGATTAAAATAGAAACTTTAGTGGAAAGAATTCTAAAACAAAAAGATAAAAGAAAATACCATGCACCTGTGTCCTTTACTTGGCAGTTTGAAGCGTTATTAATATAAGCGATTGTTCCATTAATATAATATAATATATTGTTTGTTTCTTCAAAAGAAACAACTAGCGCACACAAATTTTAAACAATCTTTACTTTTGTAACAAAAATTTAGAATGTAGTAAACCGCACCGCAATATCGTGTAGCCGGCTCGGGCAAAATGGCTGCTTTAAGAGGCACTCCTTTTATGCGTCACAGTCACAACTAATTGCAATAAAGAATAAACAAATACACTTTATACTTTCACAAATAAGATATCACTCAATATTTAATATTCTACACTTACTTGTGAAGGGAATTAAAGTAATTAAGCCAGCGATAGCAACACAATTTCAATTTTTCTCTTGCTGCGAACGATACACTACACTGACGGCTGCGGGGCCAGAGGGGAAACAAAAACGGAACGGGGTTCTCAAATTAAAGAGGCCATTGAGAATCATAGTTGAAATTCTACTTTTATTGCCAGAATTAAATAAGGCAGTAGCATGGCTTAAGACTTCGAGATAAAAAGATTATTTGAATTAATATCGCCTTGAATGTCTAACTTTTTTAAATTACGATTTATAAACAAAATTACATGTTTATTTTTCGGCGGCATGGAGTTCTTTTTCTATTTTTAATTTATATTATTTTTGTCAATAATATAATATACTCTTTATGATCATATTATCCTATAGATTAGAGCTTCATATTTGGGCACACCGTATTAAATTAATACACTTATATAGTATTGAAACATTGAAGTCTCAAGTTCGAATTTAAAATAAAATTAACAATCAAGATTAAAATAATGTCCCTTTGCCTTTCCTATTAGGGATAAATTAATATCATCATCATCATTCAAAGAATGTCAAACATAGGATTAGATGTCATAAATGACAATTTGTAACTGGACTGTTTTGACATAACGCAGATAATTCCTCTTCTAAGATCTAATCTTTAAAAACAAGGCATTAAAGACACGTGAATTTTCTTTTTTGTGTTTTGTGGTTTGTTTCTCAGACTTATTAAACTAGCATTTATATTTAGACTATCTTATAAGTTACTTAAAAATACATATATCACAATGCCGAAATCAAAACGGGATAAAAAAAGTAAGGATTCTTTAAAATATAACCTAAAATAAATGTAATATAAGGTTTTCATTTTATAAATATTGTTACTTTGTTTCAATTACTACTTTGCATTTTTTTGTGATAAATATTTCTACAATTATTTTATTTTTAGTTTCTCTCACAAAGACAAACAAAAAAGGACTTGTGTTGAAACAGAGAATCATTGAAGAAGTTAGAAACTCCCTATCGAAATATGAGAACGTGTTTGTTTTTTCTGTTGATAATATGCGAAATACCAAATTAAAGGATTTGAGAAATGAATGGAAGGATTCAAGATTTTTTTTTGGAAAGAATAAAGTAATGGCAGTTGCTTTGGGACGAAGTAAGAGTGATGAAGCTGAAGATCAATTAAATTTAGTATGTTTTAAAACTTTTAAGTATAATATAATTTATTTTATACATAATTTATATTGGAACCTGCTATTACGCAATATTTTCAAAAATTTAGTAAACATTTTAAAACAACAACCAAAGCAATAAACTGGCTGTAGTAAGCTATCATTAATATAAAAACCACAATACTAATAGATTTCTTGGCGATAATGTAGCTACAATTTTTTTTTTTGCACATATAGTTTTATATAAGCATATAAATTTAAATGTCTTTAATTTAATTTTAGGTTTCAAAAAAACTTAAAGGCCAATGTGGTCTACTTATGACAAATAAAGATGTTGTAGATGTATTACAATGGTTTGAAGATTTTGAAGACTCTGAATATGCTCGCTCTGGTTTTGTTGCAACACGTGATGTTATTCTACCCCAGGGACCACTGAAAGATTTTTCACATACAATCGAGCCTCACCTTAGAAGACTTGGATTGCCTACCAGCCTAGAAAAGGGAGTCGTTAATCTTTTAAAAGAATACCAGGTATTTTTCACATCATGTTACTGTTTTTAATTTGGATTTAGGTTTTTTATTTTTTACTATGACATAAAAGTTGTAACTTTACACCATGGATATTGTAGTTTAGCTAAAAATGTTAAACACATAGCTATTATTAAAAAACAGGTTTTGGAATGTTGTACACTCGGCGTCAAAAAAATCGCACCTTTCCTAAAATTCGTGTCAAGCGATTATAACTCCGAAGATCCTTCCTGTACCATATCATTATTAGTATCATTTGAAAGCTAATGTAATCCCTTATTTGAAAACAGTAGGAAATTGGCCACCACCCCCATAGAAAAAGAAAATTCTGGGAAAATGTGAAACAATGTGTATTCTGATCAAAATTACAAATAAAAGGAACAATACAAAAATTAAAAATAATCAATGACAATCCTTAAAAATTACAACCTAGTGTTGCCTCCTCTATCCCTCCGACCAGCTTCCAAGCGGTCAGTCATGGACCTGATGAGCGTCACGACGTGTTCATGGGGAATGTTGTCCCTTTTCTCGATGACGGCATCTCGAAGCTCATCGAGAGTGGCAGGAGCTGGATTACAGGCCCGAACTCGCCGTTTCAACTCGTCCCAGAGGTGCTCGATAGGATTGAGGTCGGGGCACCTTGCTGGCCAGCCCATAACCTTGATGCCAACTCGACGTAGGTAGTCCTCGACAATCAAGGCTGTGTGGCACCGGGCGTAGTCGTGCATGAACTCGAAGTTAGCGCCGACAAAACCTACACATGGGACCACATGCTCCTCCAAAACTTCGGTGATATACCGGTGGGCAGTCAGAGACCCCTGGCCGCGACTTTCTCCAGCTCTGGAGACGCACACGAGGTCTGTCTTGCCGTCGATAGAAATACCGCCCTAGAACATGCAGGATCCTCCTCCATACCCGACAGTTTCCACGGTGCAGGCTGGTGTGAAACGCTCCCCTGGCCGCCTGTAGACTCTCTTACGCATGTTGTTGGTGTACACGTACACTCGGGTTTCGTCGGAGAACAGGACATTCCTCCAATGGTCGAATGTCCACGGCACGTGCGTTTCATAAAATCGCTTCCTTTTCGTCCGGTGGATGGTAGTCAATAGGGGGCCTGTAGCAGCTCTCCGGGGCAGCAAATTCTTCTCTCACAGCCTTCTTCTGATAGTGGAGACGTGTCAGCTGTCCTTCGAGTAGCTCAAAGCCGCTGATGCAGCTCCACAGCGTTGAAGAAGCGGTTCCGCAAAGACGTTGACACAATGGAGCGATCACCTCTGACGGTAGTGCAGCGACGTCTCCCGGATCCATGTCTCCTGATGTAACCTCCAGTCTCTTTGAACCGTTGGTATACCCGTTGCACTCGAAATCGGCTGATTTTCAGTTGCCGAGCAACTTCAACCTGCCGTAGTCCGATTTGCAGTAGGGCCACCACTTGAGCTGCTTCTTTGCCATGGTATCCATTTTCACTGGGTTTTTTCTTGTTGAAGCTCTTTAGGAGTGACATCTGTGACGTCTGAATAGCGAATAACCCATCATTGACTTTTACCCCCTCGTTATATACGCGTCCAGGGTGGTACAATTATTGAGCCTCCACACGCGTACATCGCCACTTTTTAATCAAAGTGCTGATGATTTGTGGTTTTTGATTTTCCGTAAACAAATGATTATTTTTTTGAAAGCTTATTAATTGAGCTTTTAAATGATACTAATAATGATAGAGTACAGGAAGGATCTTAGAAGTTATAATCGCTTGACACGAATTTTAAGAAAGGTGCGATTTTTTTGACGCCAAGTGTATTTTGTTCTAGATTCTGTGTATATTTATTGACTCACTGCTTCTGTTTTTAATTATATTTATAATTTAACTAGGTTTGCAAAAAAGGCTCACCATTAACTCCAGAACAAGCCAGCATATTAAAACTATTGGGTATACAAATGGCAAATTTCAAAGTTGTGATCAAATGCCACTGGTCTAAAGGAAAGGGATTCCAAAAACACAGTGATATAGCTACAGATGATGAAGCAAGTGATGATGATGTACAAAATAATTCACATGAAGCTGTTCCTATGGAAGACGAGGAAACATAACATAAGCCCAATCATTTTATATTTCAATAAACTTATGTATATGTAATTATACATATTTATTTTCTTAGCTTTAAATTTTAACATGTTGAACAACACAGTGTTAACTTGGAGTTTCCATACTAAGTGATAGTTCTATAATAAGATAATATCATAGTAAAAACAAGTATCAAATTGTTTATCTTGAATGTATTCAGAGTCAACAGATACATGATCTCACAATCAGAATTCCTGACAAGATTCAATTCAAGGGTTACAAGAGTTTAAAAAAGATTACTATTATATTTTGGTTTTTATGTTTTCTCCAAAGTAAAAATTGTTCATGCATGGATTTGAAATTGAGTTACCCCTACCATAGGTTGTATAAAAACAAAAATTCTCATCTTAACAAAATGTATTTCATACAAAGCAAAATGATTTAAATTGTTGAAATCATTGCACTATTCAATTTAATCACAGAAACAATAAAAAATTGGCTTTTCATAAATCTATACAAAAATAATCAGTTTCAATATTCTATTATATGAAATCATAGCTGTTTTTTGATAAAATGTCAAAAACTCTTGAAGATGTCTAAAATTGGAAAAATCTTTGCTTTATATTTAAACTAAAAATAAAGAATATTATCATAGCTTAAGGTGAGGACAAAAACAGGAGTGCTTTATTTCACATTAAACATAACTTATACATAAATAGGTAATCACAGTACAAAGTAAAGCATCTTCATCACCCGACGCATCACAGTTTATGCACTCAGCAAATAAAATAGACTATTACATAACAGTCTTTGATACACAATGCAAAACATATTCATTTCAGGTCATTCTGACCCTTCTATTGACTTAAAACGCAAAACAAAGAAATTAAAAAAAAAATATTTTGAATATTCATATGAACAAAACTATCAAAATCGGCAACAACATAACACAATTCCAGCAAGTATAATAGAAATTTAAAATATAATTTCCATGCATGATTCCATTTTGTAGACAAGTAACAACAAAGGTGCAAGATATTCTATTTTTGCATAGTCCTATTGTAATTACATATATATTAGTTGAGATCAGTTGCATGTCTTATATAAACATTAAAAAAAGTAAGCATTCTGCTAAATTTTGTAATCTTAATTCTACAGAGAATAATTGGTATAGAATGATATAAGACTAATGTTCTCTATGCTTGATTGAGTGTGTATAAAAGAAATAAAAATCGAATTAATATTAATTGTGAATTCTTAAAAAAAACAGTTATTAATTTTACTGATTTGAAGAGTTTTACAAAACCTATTAAAGACAAAGCAACATTTCAGTTATTAACATATTCCGAGACAAAATATTACATCAAGCAGAAGTAAAATATCTAACCCAAAGCGTATCGACTCCTATAAGGCGTCTCGTGAGCCTTCTGGCAATGTGAGTGTCCCATGAGTGACAGTGTCAATTAACATCAGGTTTGTTTCCTGTTTTTAAAAAGAAAAAATAAGTTTTTCCAGAATAATTTCTTCCCAAATCTACACACAATATATACCTACGGTTTTCAAGTCTACAAGTCCAGATTACGTAACATTATTTCTTGAATAATTTAGTTATTGCTCAGTTGTATGATTAAAAGTCACCTACTATGGATACGCTATTGCATGCTAATACATTCATATTACAACATCAACCACCTAGAAAAACGATCTATTAGAAAAATCGTAGCAAAATTTGAGCCAATATCATAAGTAGAACTCTCTTTACCAGAACCAAATCCTCGCAATTGTTTATCAAAGCGAAAGTTGCTCCATGCCACACTATACATCTTGAAAGATTGTAAACCGATCTACGCTTATACTTGAAACTGCTAGCTCTCGTGTAACAAATAGCCCGAATTCCTTTTAGAGCTTAACATATTTGTTTGAAAAACTACTCTGAAGTGCTATACCTCAATGTTGGTAAGCAGATTATCTAGTAATAGTATTATCGCTTTATTTAGCTTGTTTTGCGGGTATAGTGACGGTTGGAACAGGGAGTTCTATGACCTCTACTTCAGGAAGCGGTTCACGCCAGTAAACAGCTTGAGAGAACTCGTCACTAGGCTCGCACAGTACTGGAGGGAACACTTGATCCACTAGCACGGTCATATGGGAATACCTGGAGGACAAAAAATACTGTTTTTAACGAAATTAGACTATCAAATTATCGTCGTGTATCTCACTCAACAAATTCAAGGATGCTGGGCAGATTCTGATGATACATTCTGCCTTTGTTTTACTTCCATAATCAGGTCAGACATGCGAGGTTGTATCCATATATTTTATGAGCAATTATCACTTTCTAGTTTTTATAGTGCTTGTCATGAAACTAGGCATTTGCTGTTAATACTAATAAGAAGAAAAGAGACATATAGCAGCAATTTTAAAAGTATGATTTAGTTTTATAGTTAATTTATTTTTTAATATAATATATTAATAGTTTGTTTCGACTAATAGAAGTTTCGCAACAAGACATCAAACGAGAAAAAGTAAAAATTAGTTAATGAGCATATAAAAAAATTATTAAACCCGTAAATGGGAAACAACACAGACACACAATATAAACATCTTTAAGAAAACACAAAGAAGAATGTTATAATGGAAAAATATGGAATAGAAAAATATACTAATAATTATGTGAAAAATACACACACCAGTTATTTTACCGTCACCAAATAATAAACTAGTGGCTACATTGTATAGCCTAATAAATTATTAAACCAAAGTACCACAGATAAGTATCTAAATCCGCGATTTCAATTTTATATTTGAAAAAATGTAATACTTTATTATTTAAAGAAATATTATTTAACAGATTTAAGTTTATTGAGAGATTTTGGCAAATATAGAATGTTAATTTTATGTAAGTACACAATACACATGACATGTCGATGATGACCGTTGATTGTTAATAAATTATAAGTAAGATAGTAACTATTCAATTTAATATAGTTTTCCTCAAAATTTGGTTGGGCTATACATAGTACATAGATACAAATCAGAATTTTATTTATATTTTTTATTATTGAATTATGTATAAACGTTTTAATTAAACAAGATTTTGTTTACATAAATGACAAAGCAATACATATGAATTCGTTCCATAAGCTACCTATTACACCGACATACATATATGTAATATGAAGCGATATTAGAAGAAATATTTATCCCCATGATCATTCAAAAATAATTCCAAACCCACCGCTTTTACTAAAGATCTGCTTTTTTTCATCGCAGCGTAATCACTTTTTGACAGAAAAGGAGGAAAAAGCACTTAACAGTGCAATTAGACTGATTTAATTTTTATGCAAAAGGCGCTAATAAGACATGTTTTATTTATTATTTGTGATATTGTGTTTTACTAATCAATATTTTGTCTCTATTTGTTTAATCAAACTCATTTGTTCTACATATAGCAAATCCAACAAAGATTTCCACATAAAATTGAATAGCCTTAACAAGATGTTAGGGAAAATGGAGAATTATGTTTAAGAATGATTGATTTGAAGCCCCTAAGTTCATGCCGTCTGGCTTACCATTATCCTTTTTAAAAATAACAAAAAAATCGCGCTAGCTAATATTTTTCAACGGCGGGAAGAAATCATCGACCATGTCACTTTGCACGTGGTAACTGAAATATAAAATATTTATTAACTTACGCGTTACTCTATGTTATATTGATGGTGCAAAAGGTGACATTGACATTTATTTACATATATGATTAATGGCTATGAAAAACAGATCGCGGACATAAATATTGAGATTAGTGACATAAAATACATTAAAAATACAGTTTTAATAAGAAAAAAAGTTATGCTTCAACCCCTTGGACTCTAAACGATTAACTTACGTGGATTGGAATGTTTGAGTGAGTTCATGTTTCAGCTCCCCCTTGTAGTTGATGGTGAAAATCCGAACTATAGGAATTCCCACTGCTTGGTATGCCCATACATCCTGTAAAATTAATAAATAGAATCATTATTGTACGGGCCAATTTTAAATAGAGAACTGCGCCTCACTAAACTAAACTCAGAGATTAGTAATATGACCTTAATCCTTATCACAATTTTGCTGCTATTAATTAATAATTTGAATATTATTATCAACAATAAAGTGTTTTATTCGTTACCACCAGAGGCGCTGCATATATTTACACACAAATATTTTGGATGGTCCGTTACGTTTTATACTTGAAAATCATAAAATACCTACATTGCTTATCGAAATTATGTTAATTGTGAAAAGTTTAATAGGCCACGTGATATTATTCAATAAATATATTTTTTACACGCATAAAACTATATCTTTTAAGGACAAAATTCAAAGGCCAAAGTTCGAATAATCTGTACCAATTGGTTTTAACAGATTTAAGCCAAAGTATTTATTATACTCACGTTAACCCGATTTCCATACCCCGCATAGAACGGGGTAGACCCAGTCGGGAAGAGAGCTTTGATGTCAGCCAGGCATTGAATTTTGAACTCCTCTGGTTTTTTCTCAATGACCTCGCGATGGAAGGCCCGTAGTAACGAAGTGGGGTTCAATAACAGTGGTCCATCGGGTAAACATGTTTCACCTTGCTTAATTGAGCGAAGGTATTCGCGGGTCACCTGAAAATTTTGGGTATATTTATTATATGCAAGTATAGCATCTTATTTATGCCCTATACAAATATTAGTAAAAGTGAGAATTGTAGAAAAGTTAATCATTTCTCGAGAAGTTTAGATGCGAGTTATTAATACGATGTAATAATTAGGATCGAGTGCAAAAGGACGTTATTCTAGTGCCTCCGCACATAGACTAAATAGTATGGTGAAAAAACTCGAGCGTTGGATGTCTTATTTCATATAACAATTCAAAAAAGATTAAACAGTCATTTTCGTATCAATGAGGATTGGATTTGGAGAAAGTGTTCCATAAGTACAAAATGTGAAAGAAATATGTAATCATTATCATGTTTATATTTGTGTATGAGTCAGCCTCATAAAGAAGACAAATGCCGTCTTTGCTTAGGACTTTATCACATGAATACTCTTAGCTACTTATATTCAATATTTTTTATCTGTAGCATATTTGTATATATATAAATACATAACAACAACTCCAGCTAGAGTATAAGTTAATATACATAGTAGCCTCTAAAATAATCTAAATCTCACTCAATCAAAATAAGGTTTTGGAGTCTTGCCTTGCTTTCTTGTTTAAAAAATTCAAATCCCTACAAGCTGAATTTCTTCTCTTTTTTACTATTTTTTACTGTATTGTGAATTACAATTATTCTGAAGTATGAAAGATTGTATGGATTTTAAGGATTCTTTCTACATAAATATTAATTATACTTACACCGGCCTGTCCAATAGCCCTCGCAGAGAGGTAAAGTAGCTGGTATCCATTATTTTTTATCTTGGTGAATAGTTGCGCGACTCCCGACTGCGCCCAATCTTTTCCTACAAGAGGGAAAATGTGACCTAGCACGTCCGACCTAAAAAACAACCATCCCATTAATTTAATATCTAATACTAATTATATTATATATTTGATCGATTTTACGTCATGACACGATGACATGATTAATTTCTATCCGTTTCATTTTAGTAAAACCATGCTGCTTATATTATCGGTAACGTTTAATAATTATAAATTAGTATACACATATATTATGGGTCTAAACAAAATAAATGATCTAAACAGATCTACATTTGTTGAATTTTGACAAAACCAAGCGATCAGCGATTTATTTTTTGTATCCTATTAATAATTTGCATTGCGTCTGTGTTTGTCCTATGCTAGATGTAAGAGACGGAATGTTGACGTATTTCAATTAGGAAAAAAAATAGTTTTCAAGCCATTTTCGAATAAAACTTATACCCACGACAGATATATTGGTTCGTTTTTAAAATTATCCTTATACTTATTAATGTCGTTTCTATTTTCAAATGTTCATTGAAGACATTTACTACACCCAAAGATAAATAAAAAAAATGACGTCTGAAGATCTACAGACAACAAAGCATAATTGCCCTAATCCAATTCAAATTTCGATAAAACAAATCATTATCAAAAACATGAAAAACACAAATGCGGTTAACATATCGCATTATTATCTGCGGTTGGAAACAATGGTTTCACAAGGCCTTAAAATCAATACGTGACAACCATTTTTATCGTTCAAGACTAGTTTGTTATGCAAAATTCGTAGGCGAAATAGTAATCCTTGAAAAAAATACACTTCCCCATTGTGTTTGTTTATTACGACAGTTTCGTGTAGCAACTGCGATTCGGAATCAAAAATGACTAGACTTTAAAATATATCGATTTATCAGTCCAAAATTTCAGAAATAAATGAAAGACTATGAGAGCCTAAGAGATAGATAGATCTAGTAATTTGGTTTGTCTTTACAAATTGTCTGTTAGTGTTTTTATTTTAAAAAAGTGGCGCTACAACCTCTTTAGGTCTTTAGAGCCTCAGATTTGTTTTATGATAATTTGTCATTTCTAATAGGCAAGTAGGTGACCAGCCTTCTTTGCCTGACACACGCCCTCGACTATTTGGATCTAAGGCACGTCGGTTTCCTTACGACGTTTTCTTTCAGCGTACGATCGAATGTTAAATACACACATAGACAGAAAGTTCATCTACCATCCCGGCTGTGCACTAGCAACAGGGATTAGAAGCTACGTCCTCAGGGATGGGATAAGCACCCTAAACCCACTAACGCCAACCTGCTCATGCTAGAGTTTTTAATAGACAAGAAAACACTTTGCTCCCCCCCCCCCCCCCTTTTTAAATACATCCCTCATCTTTTTCCTTCCCCCCCTTCACCCCCCCCAACCCCCCCCCCCCCCCCCCCCCCAAAAAACAAAACCCCCCCCCCCCCCCCCCCCCCCCCCCCCCCCCCCCCCCCCCCCCCCCCCCCCCCCCCCCCCCCCCCCCCCCCCCCCCCCCCCAAAAAAAAACCCCCCCCCCCCCCCCCCCCCCCCCCCCCCCCCCCTCCCCCCACAAACACCCCCAACCCCCCCCCCCCAACCCCCCCCCCCCCCCCCCCCCCCCCCCCCCCCCCCCCCCCCTTCCCCCCCCCACCCCCAAACAATATAAACAAAAAAACTAAAACCCCCCCCCCCCCCCCCCCCCCCCCCCCCCCCCCCCCTCAAAACAAAAAAAAAACCCCCAAAAAAAAAAAACCCCAAAAAAAAAAAAAAAACCCCCCCCCCCCCCCCCTTTCTCCCCCCCCCCCCCCCCCCCCCCCCCTCCTCCCTTCCCCCCCCTTCCTCCCCCCCCCCCCCCCCCCCAACCCCCCCCCCCCCCAAAAATACCCACCCCCCCCTTCCCCTCTTTTTTTCCTTTTTTCCTTTTTTCCAAAAAAAAAAAAAAAAAAAAAAAAAAAAACCCTTTTTCCACCCCCCCCCCCCCCCCCCCCCCACCCCCCCCCCCCCCCCCCCCCCCCCCCCCCCACCCCAAAAAACCCCCCCCCCCCCCACACCCCCAAAAAAAAAAAAAACCCATCCCCCCCCCCCCCCAAAAAAAAAAAAAAACCACACCCCACCCCACCCCCCCCCCCCCCACCCCAAAAACAAAAACCCAAAAAAAAAAAAAAAAAAACCCCCCACCCCCACCCCCAAAACAACCCAAAAAAAAAAAAAAAAAAAACCCCCAACCACACCCCCCAAACCAAAAAAAAACAAAAAAAAAAAAAACCCCCCCACCCCCCCCCCCCACCCCCCCCCCCAAAAAAAAAAAACCAAACAAACAACCCCCCCCCCACCACCCCCCCCCCCCCAACCAAAAAAAAACAAACCAACCCCCACAACAAACCCCACCCCCCAAAAAAAAACAAAAACAAAAAACCACCCCCCCACCCCCCCCCCCAACCCCAAAAAAACAAAAAAACCAAAAAAAAAACCCCCCCCCCCCCAACCCCCCCCAACAAAAAAAAAAACCCCCAAAACCCCACCCCCCCCCCCCCCCCCCCCACCCAACCCAAAAAACAAAACCCCAAAAAAAACCAACCCCCCCACCCCCCCCCCCAACCCAAAAACCAAAACAACCAAAAAACCCCCCCCCCCAACAAAAACCCACCCCCAAAAAAAAAACCAAAACAAAAAAAAACCCCCCCAACCAAACCCAAAACAAAAAAAAAAAACCAAAAAAAAAACCCCCCCCCCAAACCCCAACCCCAAAAAAAAAAAAAACCCCCCCCCCCCAAAAACAAAACAAACCACCCCCCCCCCCCCCCCCCCCCCCCAAAAACCCCCCCCCCCCCCCCCCCCCCCCCCCCCCCCCCCCCCCCCCCCCCCCCCCCCCCCCCAAAAAAAAAACCAACCCCCCCCCCCCCCCCCCCCCCCCCCCCCCCCCCCCCCACCCCCCCCCCCCCCCCCCCCCCAAAACCCCCCCCCCCAAACCCCCCCCCCCCCGGGGGGCCCCCCCCCCCCCCCCCCCCCCCCCAACCAACCCCCCCCCCCCCCAAAAAAAACCCCAACCCCCCCCCCCCCCCCCCCCCCCCCCCCCCCCCCCCCCCCCCCCCCCCCCCCCCCCCCCCCCCCCCCCCCCCCCCCCCCCCCCCCCCCCCCCCCCCCCCCCCCCCCCCCCCCCCCCCCCCCCCCCCCCCCCCCCCCCCCCGCGCCCCCCCCCCCCCCCCCCCCCCCCCCCCCCCCCCCCCCCCCCCCCCCCCCCCCCCCCCCCCCCCCCCCCCCCCCCCCCCCCCCCCCCCCCCCCCCCCCCCCCCCCCCCCCCCCCCCCCCCCCCCCCCCCCCCCCCCCCCCCCCCCCCCCCCCCCCCCCCCCCCCCCCCCCCGCCGCCCCCCCCCCCCCCCCCCCCCCCCCCCCCCCCCCCCCCAAACCCCCCCGCCCCCCCCCC